ATAATGACGGTAACTTCGCGCTAAAACTCCGCTTATACCTAAATATTAATTTCAATATCTCTTATTCAAGAGCTATTGAAATCTCAATCATTAAAGGGATGGTGCTTTTTTCTTCGCTGTTTACAGCGTTGAGAGAGGGTAAAAGAGGAGGGAAGATGCGCAACGCCGGAAATACTCTGGATGTCGTTCGTGGAGGAAAAAGTTCGCGCATCCTGGTGTGGTTTTTTGCGGCGTCTGGACATAATAAAATAACGGGCACAGGGGCGTATAACGAATTGAATTTCTGCAGGAATGACCCGAGGCGCGCGCGTCGCGGAAGGGTGTATTTGGACAGAAATATATACATATACGTGTGTATATACGTATATATACACCATCCCCCCCGTGCGCAAAGTTATAATAAATTCAAAGCGAACGAGGACACAGTGGCGGGCGCGCGCGGTCGCGGCTCTCGGGTTACGTCTGGATATTTCGCATGGAATATTCCACACGCGGATTCAAAACCCCCCACGGTTTGTGCTAAAAGTGTCTAAAAGCCGGCCGGTAAAGTACGGAGGCCGGCCAGGTGATTCCAAGTTCGCGCGAGAATATATATGAAACGCGCGGAATTCCCCTATTACGGGACTTTTCTCAAGTTTTTCTCAAAAGACGGCACTCTCCGCCAGGCATACTTATCGCAATTTTGTTTGCCATATATCCATTCTGTTCCAAGTTGCATTGTCTGTGTTATGCTTTAATTTCACTTCTACATTTCGCGCTACCACATTTTGATACAGCGTTCATCGCGTGTAACTTTGATATCTTCCTGCCGTATCGATCTCATTTACGTAATAATATTGACTTTGTCAATTTTTAATTTCGAAAAAGGAAGTTCCGACGAGTAATCGCCTACAACTTCATCGTCTCTTTAATTATATTTTATTATATTAAATTTATTTCTTTGGCAAATTTTTATTTCATACTAATTTCATTTTGGTTATACTAAAAATTAGTTTTTCTATAGTTAGCAAACTATGATGTTTGTTTATTATTTATTTTATTTACTTTTTTTGTATATAATTGAAAATACGCTGTATATATGCATCCGGAGTGTCAGCTTTGTGTTGTAATGTCGTTTTTGTTCAGCGTTTTGATGAGAATCGACGTTTTTAACGTCGTCATTTATGCTAAAAGCGCGATAAATACCTCGCGACTAAGAGAATGCGAAATACGCATACATTCATTCTCCGAAGTAGGTAAGAATTATTTTTGCGCGTTATTTGCTTCGCACACACAATAACTAATAAGCCACTTTTATTCATCTCGTCAAACATTTAACGTGGTATATGGCTGTCGCTAAGAAATCGCGATGTTGAAGTGACCTTAGATCCAGTCGATAGCGGTGCAGAAAACGCGTTTTGTTATACAGATCCTTTTTGATATGATAATGTCGAAAAAGGATAAAGTCCAGCACTTTCGTAAGAAATATTAACATAAGTTTTGATACGCCAGGTGAAAAAGCGGAATCATTCGTCATCTTGATTCCCGCCAATGAATAACTAACTGTCAAAAATACCTTGCGCAATTTAACCGGTTTTTCGAATGAATTTGTATACTTATATTCATTTTAAATTAATGAGTTTACGTGTTAAGCAAACATTAACGATATCGAGTATTCGATCAGCGGTTAAATTTATCTTTAGTATTTAAGAAATTTATTTTTTTTCCACTTACACGATCGATATCATGATAAAATAAGTATAACTCGATTGTTTTTCTTTTCGCGAAAAAGCCGACAAAATCGGCGAATCGCATCCCACGTAATCTCTTTGCGAATTGCGGGCGGAGTATTATTTACCACCACACATTATTCCTGCGATCTCATAAAATATTGATGTAAACACTGTAAATCTACAATAAATTATAAATTAATTTGATACACATATATCGGCGTAATATCGTATAATGCTAATGATATAATACCGGCATAATAGCGGTATTACCGTAAGATATCGGCGCGTTTAAAGTTCACATTTCAGCGACCTACTTATATTGAAAGGTACCGATGATGAAAATGACAGTTTTGATTGCCGTTTTCAATCCCTCCTATAATAATTTTCCACTTTTAAACGGTTATATCCCATCTTCGCATGTGCAAACATTGATTTCCACATTTGTTCCGCGGATGTTCAGGATGTGTGTATTAATTTGAATAACGCTATCGGATGAATTAATAATAAACAATTAGGTTAATTAGATCTCCAGATTGCCAGGAAATGCGGATTGTTAATATAACAATTTGCTTGTGTTATAATTATTAGTTACATTGTTATAGGTATAATGGTATAATGGTATGATAATACCTTTAAAATATTTTTCTTTCATATTCTATTGTGATTTGACCCTAAAATGCAAATTGTAAAGTTTTGTATCACTGGGTACAATAGTTTAAAATTAAATCAATTTTCTCTCATTCCTGGAAAATTTTAATTTTCAGAGATGTGCTCTTTTCGAAATTGTACATTTAATTGTTGCCGCTTTGCCAATTGATTCTCTCGTTTCGTTCACTTCGTGAGCAACGCATATTTTGACAGTTATGTATATCGAAGAATTAATAGTGTATTAGTAATATTAATTAACAGTGTAATATTGATTTAAATATTCAAGCATTTAAACATTTAATTGAAGTATTTTAGCATTTGCTTCTACATTGAAATTCTGATTATATTATAATTATATTTAGTTATCTTTTTGTTTTTAATTTGCTGATAAAAATTTAAAATTCTTGATCTTTTGATTATAGATATCTACTGGTTGTTAAGTAATCTTAGGAGCAAAAAATTTTTCCTTCAATTTAATCAGTTCCATTTACTGCAAAAAGAAAAGAATAATTATCTCTGATCTCCCGACCCAGGCAAAACTTTATCTGGATCTTCCAGACACAGGCAAAAATTTTATCTGAATCTCCCAGCTTTGTACTGTTCTAGTAAAACATAAAAATAGATGAACCAATTCAAAAATGTATATAAAGAACAGCATTTATATGATGATAAAGTAAAATTTATCGCAAAAGTGTCTGAACGTATCCAGACCGTTTCTCACAACAATTTTACGACAGATATCATATTTAATTATTTTACTAACCATCTTATAATATATAGCAGCTGCTTTAAATCTATATTTCACCGAGCTTGCAACTTAAAATCGGCCATTATTCTCCGGTGCGTCCAATATAATTCTATCGTGTATCGCGTATAACGTTATATCCCACTTCTTGTTTTATTCCTATATATCTTATCGAATCTCGGGATCCTAAAGAAGAAGCTGAAGAAGCCGCAAAGGATATCGCCTCGAGCTTTCCTTTCCTCTCTCACATATTTCCATCAGGCAAAGGCCGGATGAAAATCCCGAAGAGGCCCATTTGTTCTGTGCGCCGCGTATTTAAATCCCTGTTGCACTTGCCGAAAGGATTCCATCGCGCCTTACTTCGATTGGAAAGCTTTTATTTCCCTGAATTTTCGTCACGTTTCTCTTTCTCAGTTCAGCGAAAGAATTTTTGAATTATCACGTTATCCTTTTATTTACAAAACGTTATTAATTATTCACGCTGTTACGTTACACTGTTATTAATTTCCTATTGCTCGCAAAGGGTTGCCTCTGATTATTAGCCTTGGGCACAATATCGAGTATCAATACTCGCACCCGACAATAAATGAAATAATGCCATATCGATATATAGAGAGATTTAAACATTCTCGAGCGCAGTCAGCAGTTACCGCTCACCGCTCACGAATCGCGTTTACATGCTAATAGACGTTTACGAGCGATCGATCGGTGCAGTTTCCTCAGCAGTTGCCGACCTCGCCGAGGCACTTCGCAACGCGACAAGTTAAATTAATAAGCCCTACATAGTCGAGTGCTCAGGCTTTATTCAGTCGAACGGCGAGAAGACGTCATAGTAGTGCGACGCGTGGCTATTGCAATTCCCGCCCGACTCTCGTTAGCGGTGCAGTTAGCAACGTACAGCTTCGCAAACGAGACGACGAACCGCAATCCTAAAGCGTTACGATTTCTCCCTTCAGCCAGGAGAGCGAAAGGGCCGACGCGAAACGAAAACAGCTCGCACGTTGCGAGCGCGCGCGAGTGAGAGTCCTTTTGGTCCTCTCTCGCCGCAGGATAATCAGTTCGGAGAAAGCGCGTTTCGTCCTTTCATTACGCGTAAATACGTATTAGCGCGCCTATTCCGCACCGATGCATTTTCTCAAACAGCACAAACGGCGTTTAATTTCACGAATTAAGAGTAACGAAGAACGGGACGAAAAAATTCGTGTAACTCTAATCGAGTAATTTTATTAAACTAAATATATACATATCTACATTAAATTTAATATAATTTCTTATAAAATGATTTCTGCGTGTCTAAAGAAAAGAGGTTGAACATGAGATCCTCGCGCGGACAGAGTGACGGATAATGCATTTACGCGCGAGTCTTGAATGAAAATTTCCTAATTATACTGTTATAAATTTTATTTCCGAATTTATATTGACGCCTGCAAAATCTTACAATAAAAAATAAAAGATATATCAAATTATGCGCTCTATATAAAGGAGTTCGAATATATTGATCTGGTAATAAGTAAAAAGAATATAAAGATCTGATCTTTGATTTTGCAATTGCATTTCCTCCTTAAAGTATTAAATTGGGACTTTAGAAGTTCGTGATTTTTTTATTAACTTTTTTCCTTGGAAACTTAGATATTAATTATACAGTTATGTGCAAAATAATAGCACCGGCTGAAAAAATAAAGAAAATTCTAAATTTAAAAGTAATTAACTGAAAATATTACTTTATTTTATTTATTAAATATACATCAATTAATACAAACATAACATATCATTATTACAAAAAGATTAAAAAAAAATAGATTTTTGTTTAAATTTAGAATGTTCTTCATTTTTTTCAGAAGGTGCTATTATTTTGCACATAACTGTATATTATTTTATTTATTTTTAGTATTTTATTCATAAATATTTACAATTCAATTTTGCAATATATAATTTTATAAATATAATATAAAAACCCGTTTAACAAAGACACCAGAAGATCAAGGATCTGAAACAGAAAATATTTTCTTTTGAAATAAAAGAACAGCAATTCTCGTGAAATAATTTTATTCTCAATATTAATATACGTAATTATGACACTCGGAGAGATCTTGACGATTATTTTAATATCATTTTATTCAACTTTTGAATAATAAGTAAAATAATTTAAAAGAACATCTACATCATAATTTTAAAATGCTGCTTTGAGTAGGACGAAGGATTTGCAAACAATCTAATAATAAAATAATCATTTTCGAGTTAAGATTGCTACATTTCTATATAAATTTCCAACGAATATAAATGATCAATTAACAAATACTATACAAATCATAGTACTCATAGATTTTAGTAGATAATTATCATCATTTTCAGATATTATCAGATAAATAACTGAAAAAATTAAATTTATGGTAAATAAAAATTACCTGCAATCGTTGCCATTACGGATTCCAGGGATTTTGCAAACCTTAAAAATATACATTCTGTGTATTAGTTATTGAGTAATGTTAATCACACATATTCTGCTAAACTTGACGAAATCAGAAGTAGCAAATTGCATATCATAGCATTCATAGATCTTGGTGATTATAAAAACATCATTTAAGACAAAGTTCAAAATATAAGATAATATAGAAAAATATAAATACCTTTGTTAAATTTCAGGATACTGTTTCATTCGAGATTTGCAGGCAACCTAAGTAATAAAAAAAAACTGTATTAGTTAAGATTGCTATTTTCTGCTGAAATTTCAGGCTGATTCAAATAAAGATCAGTATAGTAAATACTATAAATCATGTTGTTCATAGATCTCGATGATTACCCATTCATCATATTTAACGTTCATGTAATAAAACAAAATTCCTTCTCAATCAAACGCGAATCAAAATGAAGAATTCATTTCACAGAATACGTTGTAGTAATTTTTTAATTTAAAACATATTTAGTGAAATGTACAAATTAATTAGTCTCTTTAGTTAGGTGTCTTCTCAGTGGAGAAAAAAGTTTCTATGATTGCAGCGCAACTCTGGCTGCAGCTTACCCTACAAATCACATTGTTACAATGTTAATACAGTATTAGGGTTGGTTTATAATAGCCGTAACCGTTGATTTAAGCCGTAATCTTTAAGAAGTTGACCAATCACAGTCGATTATTCTTCTCACATTCGACTGTGATTGGTCAATTTCTTAAAGATTACGGCTTAAATCAACGGTTACGGCTATTATAAATCAACCCTTAATGGCAAATAGCATTTTCGGTAAACCGTAGAAAACTGCTTGTTGATGCAGTGTCTTAAGAAAACCACTGTTGCCTCGAATTATATACAATATCTTAAATTTCCTGCGACAAGCAGGTCTATAACATTTCTTTATTACGATTACATATCGCTCACATTTGCTGCAATAACGATATAACTCACAAATTGTCATTTTTCAGTTATTTGCAAAAAGAAGAACAGATCTTTGGATTTTTGAATGAAGCGAGCTAACGACGCTTTTTATTCCTCTATAATCAATTTAACGTTAAACCTAAATTGCATTAAAAAATAATATAGCAAAATGTTTACGATTCAAAATATCTAAACTCATTTTCTGAAAAACTTTTAATTTTTCGAGTTGTTGCTGCAGCAAGTGAGTGGTACTTACGTATTCCTGCATAGATAATAGGTTATGCCGTATGCATCGTCTATAAAAGACGATTATTTGCAAATAATACTGTGCTGCGAAGGCGTTTGATAATTCGGAGTACATTACGATTGTAAATTGTAAAATATATATTCTGATGCAGTGGATTGTTAAAAGAAGTCCGATAATAAAGGCCAAAGTACCACGTGCTCCAGCATGCTCCAAACTCCAAACTGCATCTGCAAACAGTGACCACACCATACCGACATTACCGACGGCGCCGACCACATGCAACAACAATAACAAGAAAGGATTGTTCAAGATGGCGGGGGAAAACGTCCTCAACTTATATCATACGTACGCCGCGCCGCAATCGACACGAAATGAAATTAATTCCAAGCGCGTATTTTCAAACGGTATCGATTAAGAACGTTAATTTAAACGCTATTTGACTAAAAACGTGAATTTTATCCGCATATATGTGTGCATATATATATGAATTAAATAGTTAAGTAGTTCGTATCGCGAATCAATCATTTCGTACGCGATAGAAACACCGAGCGCCATATTGTCGGCCACCAATGACCAATTTTTTCTACGCTCGTTTGCTCGTTACGTCAGAAACTGTGTCAACAACATGGCGTATCGCTAATCGGGGGCCCGTTTTTCCTTTTCATGCTAATCGTCCACGTTCCCTCCCTCTCCCGAATAGATGCTTCACGCCCAATTGTTTCCCAAGTCCATGGAATAATATAACGCAACGCGACAAGCGAATTTTTGACGTATACAAATCGCAGGAAGAAACCCCTCGACGTGTCGTCGCACGATGAATGCATGCGCGCGGTCGGCGCGGTGAAGACAGAGATATCTGTCGGCGCTTTCTCCCCCTAGGCGGGCCGCTTTTCCGCATGGGAACGATGCGCGGGGGTGCCTAGAGAGTGCGTGGAGAAGGTGGGCACGTCTCTCGTCGTGCATCATGCGCGAGTGATCGCGCCTCTACCTAGTGTCGTTGGATTGGAGCTCGTCGGCGACGCCGCCGTCTGGAGTCTGGGGTACCAGTTGTCATGCACGGCCCGGACAGGCCGTGTCCCTGCCGCGCGCTTCGCCACCTTTCGAGGAGGAGTCGGGGACTATGAGCGCGTCGCCGTCGACCCGCGTAACGTCTGTGACGACTGTCGTCGTGTCGCCGTCGCCGTCGCCGCCACCGCATACGCGTAGAATGACCTAGGCCAGCCCGCTCGCCCGTCCGCCGGATTGAAAACGCGAACAATGAGGAACTGTACCCGGTACGCGATGCGGAATCTACGTCGGATGTGCTGGCTCTTCTGGGTGGGTCTACCGATGCTCGCGGCCTACCCCGTGCCCTCGCCGCTCGCCGCTGGTACGTCCGGGAACGTCGCAAGCGCCTTCGTGCACGCGCCGTTGCCAATGTTGATTGTTCTGTTTCTTGAATTCAATCACATATGTGTGTATACGCGCACCGTCCTATAGACAGGAAGGTAGAAATCTCGCTTCCCTTGCCTTTCTTTCTTTAAAAACAAGGGAAATGAACCACTGGTTACATTGACAAGCAACATTGGCGACGTATATGTGGCAACGATTGTAAATATTATCGGGGGGCTCTATCCAATAACTTTGCTTTGTCGTCGCAGATTCGCCACACGCACGTGCTTCCTGGCAATGGGAACATTACTGGATGCGTTACGCGATCGCTCTGTCAAGCGTCACCGCCACGGCGTTAACTTTAGCCGGATGCCTTTGTTGCCAGAGGCACAGGAGACCCAAAGGATTTCAGGTAATTTGGAGTGATTTTTACGTAACCAAAGTAGACGTAGAAAAAGTGATGCCACTGTTTTAGAATTCTAACCCCAGTCTCTGCATTTTTTTTTAATTATAGGACAAAGCAGAGAAATGCAATCAGGTAACATTGATGTTGCGGGTCCGTTATATGTCGCCATAATTATCAGAACGAGAATGTGAACGAAATTAATGCTTGGCTAAAAGTACAGATTCTATCTATGTAAATTGCGATTGACATCTGTGGACTTGATTGATTTATTACATAAATCTATATTTCTTATGTAGATTGCGTTCGACAAATGCATTCTTATAGATAGAATCTAGTACAATTAGTACATATTACATATAATCATATATTATTGTAGGGCTAGATTTTTATAATTTAACGTAGATGATGTGTCGCTTTAAATTTTAAAGAGACAGTTTAATTATACATTCTATAATTATAAGCATTAGGCACGTCCTAGGTTTTTCTATATCTTTTTAAACACGTTCATAAGTAGCATGCGTAGTATGCTAGCAACTAATCTTTACGTCTGTATCGCAACGTGCTGTGATTATACAAGACCGCAAAAATCGACACTATCGTTATCGTTGTAGGAATTCAAAGATGGGAGCAGTACAGGACAGGAAAGTGCGTTTGATCCGTCTGTCGAAAGACTGGAATTGGATGCCTCCAGGACGTTAGCCGCTTCCGAGAGGGTGCAATTTGAACCCTTGCCAGTGGAGTCTATCGTGTCTGGAAGTAGAAGCACTCCGAAACACAAAGCGATACCTTTGTCAGCGCCACGCATCGAGGATCAGGATACGGATCGCTCCATTCTACAGGAGCCATGCAGCGAGTGGTTTAACTCCAACGAGCTTTATGTCCCGCGAGAGAAACTCAAATATCTCAGAGAAATAGGTCACGGATGGTTTGGTAAAGTCGTCGAAGGTCGGGCGGATTTGGAACAGTCGAAGGGCATGTCGAAATCAGGCGGCGTAGTGGTAAGAATTCTCACCGAACAAGCTACCACTAGGGAGAAGGCTTGGTTTCTTGGCGAGGCCACGCCGTACTTGAAGCTACGCCACCAAAATGTCCTAGCTCTACTTGGTTTCTGCCTCGAGACCGATCCCTACCTTCTGCTATTCGAATCGTGTCCGGCCGGGGACTTGAAAGGTTTCTTGCTGTCGAACCGCGATACCAAGTCGAGGGAAGCGCTCGTCAAGGAAAACGTTCCGATACGAATTGCGATGGAGGTCGCGTCTGGTTTGAAGCACATGCATAACCACGGTTTCGCGCATACGGATCTCTCCGCGAGGAACTGTCTGATCGCTCCAGATTTATCGGCCAAGTTAGGTGATTACGGTACCGGTGTCGAGAAGTATCCCGAAGACTATTATATTGTGGGAGACCGAGCCTTGCCCATCAGATGGTCCGCGCCGGAAAGTTTGAACTGTACGGACACCACCATCGAAACGCAAGAGATCACGTTACAGGCCAACATGTGGAGTTACGCGGTTCTCCTCTGGGAGATCGCCAGCTGGGGAGAAAGGCCTTACAACGATATGAACGACGAACAGATCATTCAGATGATCTTATCTTTAAAGAACCAATTTTTGCCAAACGGCACGCGACTGCTGCAAAATCATCACGCCAATTGTCCGTCAAATATATTCCAAACGATTCGCTTGTGTTTGAACGTCAACGTGAAAGACAGACCTACCTTGGACGACGTGAAACAGATTCTCCTGAATGAACATTCAGCGCATATGGATTTCGAGCAACGGTGGGAGAGTCTGCGCGCGAACACCTACAAACAGCACGTACGCAGTGCTAGCTTACAAGATCTACGTGGTAGCATCGATTCCGACTACTGGACTCATATCGTGGATGACGCGCAAACGACAGACTCGCTACAGTCCTCATTTCGTCTCGGACCTGACGAACAAGTGAGGAATATTCCCAGAATGAAGACTGCCACGATGTTTCAAGAATCTGGCTCGGAGACCGAGGAGGAAAGCTGGAAGTGTCGAATCGAGCGGGGTGTTTATACCGAAAAAGTTAAACAGAAGTCCAAGTCCGTGACGGACCTTATGGTGCTTGTACATATCGATCCCGATTCCGACGCGGAGTGGTCATTAGGAGCGCAAACGTCGGAGAAGAACGTCAAGAAGAAATTATCCGTGACCGGTAGCGACAGCGACCTTAGGCATACCGTGCCCACGGATGAATTCGACGAAGCGTTGAAGAAGCTGCGAGATCCTTTGCCGAGCAATGCCGCCGGTAAAGTCCGGTCTTTGGAAAATCTAGAACGACCGAAACTCTTGACTCTGACCATAGATCAGGGCCAGACGCCGATCTTGCGTCTCTCCTTGGACAGCGCGGGAAAGACTCCTGAAAGTAACGACGGCGCGCAATCTAATGTAAGCGCAGATAGTACGCAACGCGGTGGCGAAAAGCACGTATTAAGACTCTTGTCGAAGGGGGACCCGGACCTCCCCCTTCTTCGCTATGTACCTGACCAAGTGTCCTCCGCTGAAGAAGTAGAAAAGAAGGAGGATCACGATATACCCCTCAATAATGAGGACAGCGACGGTATTCCTAATCGTTTTATTTCGAATAATGCCGAGACCAATACGGTAGATGTTTTACTTTGGAATCACGCGTTAGATTCCGCTTTAGAGCACAAAGTACCAGGCTTCTCAGACGAGGCGGAATTTAATGAATACATCGACGCATCGACTGAGCGAATTAATGCTAGCGCACCAGAACTGACTGTGACCGTGTCTACGCCAGATGCACCACAGTTTTGTAATGCCTATTCGATTTACACCGCCGATAGCTTTTCTATGGTAGAGAACGCGGAAATAGAAGAAAAGCCATTGCCAAATGACGACGAGGAAGAAAGGAAGCAATTGTCCACGCCGGACGACGAACAGAGCTCCGATTCTGGTTTTCGCGACAAGGAGTCTTGCGAGGAGGAGGAAGCGGTTTGCTCGACGCCCGGCAACCCCCTGTCTTCGGTCAACAGCACCGCGGTTTCCAGATCGTCATATTCCGAAGAAGAACCATTCCAAATTCTATTCGAGCTAGACACTATTCTCGACGCGGAATATTACGCCACGCCCGCTGGCCCTGAAAGTATGACGGAAGGTACGAATTCTATACCTGACGTCGAGAAGGCCATATCGCCTTCGAAACAGAGTACTTCTGATTTAAACCATGCTTTTGTTAAAGTTGACGTTACCAATTCCGATTCGACTGAAATGAGCGACACAGAGAGTCCGAATCGGGTGAAAGTAAGGTATGAAGATGTGGCAGAGGACATTGAGATGGAGAAGAAAAATGTAATATCTGAAAAAATGCAGGGAGCCAATAGTGATGTCCAATCGCGCGACTCAGAAGCGGAGACGTACGCCTTAAAATTGGACACCTTTAACACTCAGCGAGATGAACAGTGCTCGCAGGGAGATTACGAGAACGAGGACGAGGATAGTTCGACGGTGAGCTTACGCAGCGACAACTCGTACGTGTCGTTCGGTATGGAGGAGGAATTCGTAACGGCGATTCGTAACGAACTCAGGGAAAAGTTGCCTCAGGCTCAAATGCAGATCGTGGAATCCTTGGAAGCACACGATGACGAGAATCCTTCCATCTCTGACGACGCGTACGGCAAACAGTGGGACGATGAGGATGGCGAAGATTTGTCCAATCAAGTTAGCGGAGGTGTAGACATTTCGATCAGGTATGGTTCTTTGAAAATAGATTAACTAAAAATTAAAAAACTTTTCATTATATTAGAATATTATGAAATTTTTTTTCTATTGCGTTTAGGTACAACGTGTACGGGACGCCGCTTAGTCCTATTCTGGAAGAGCGAGAAAGCACCGTCACCTCCGAGTCTTTAATGTCGAACTCGAGAGAGACATCCGTCGCTTCGAGAGAATCGGTGCCGTCCGAAGATGTGCTATTAGTAGACACTCGTACGAATGAAATGATATTATTGGAGGGACGATTACAGGACGAAGATCGAGACACAACGAATGGCGATCTGTCCGACGAGGAGAATTTAGATTACACTTGTTCGGTGATACACCCGTTGGAGGATAAGTCGCGTATCGTGAAAACGAGCGGTGGCGCGCCGTTACCGAGTCCTGAGGAAGAATCCAAGTGGCAGCAATTACCTTCGTCCTTCCCGTTACCTTTACCTTTACCTCTACCGTTGCAAGATGATTTGATGTCGACGAGTTTCGTCACCGAACGCGAATGCTGTAGTCAAGACGAAGACGAAGAAGAGGAGGAAGAGGAGGAAGATGAAGATGGGGAAGAAGAAGAAGAAGAAGATGAGGATAACAGTTCTAGTTCCGGTGAATTTGTATGGAAGGTATGTCGCTTCAAAACTATTGGAGCATTAAGTACTTCTTATTGTTTCTCTATTTTTTTTTCCAAAACTTAATCAAAATTTACGCCCTGCAGAGGTATAACGAGCCACATGTCGAGCAAATACGAATCAGAAGTACTATGAATAACGACAAAACGAATACGACGACGAGTGCCGAATTGGAAGAGGAATTGGCCGTCGAGGACGAAGAGGAGGAGGAAGAATTCACTCCTTCGGCCTGGAATGCCGCTTTAGCACCGCATCGATCGGCACTGAGGTCTCCAGACAAAACGTTAAAATCAGGGGTAAGGTGACAAACGCTGTAACAGATAAATATATCGTATGCAAAACTACTCGCGTCCCTGTATCGGTATTAATGATGTCTTCTCCTCTTTCAATTGCCGCTAGGATGAGTTGGTAGGTGTGTCGATTACTTAAGTACAGAGAAATGCATGTAATTTTAACATTCCTCTCCCGTGACTCTTTCCCTTGCAGAAATTTAAATTTGAGGTACTTAGCGCACGTACTTTTTTATAAATGTACACGCTAGACAAATGCTAAATATAGGTGTAACTCGAGCATATATTTTCCTACGGGAAATTGTCGGACTGACAATGCGCGATTTGTTCAGGATCAGAAGAAGAGCGTGTGGTTCAAGAAGCAACGCTACCAGTGCGTATACGAGTACCCGAAGGAAACATTACCAGCGGACAGTCAAACGGATACCATTACCAACTCGGAACGAACATCATACACTGGTATACTTCTTATATACGATCGATAAATATTTTGTATCTATATTTAAAATATTTCACAAATTAAATATCAGAAAGACAAATATCTGAAATAAACGAATAAAAATGACGGTTTATTTGACATTCTTTGTGTTGCAGATTGGGAAGAAATGATGAATGAACCACGATTAGATCTATATCCTTTAGATTATGACGATGCCAATCATCCTGGTACGTATGAATTCACCAAGCCAAGACTTATACGATGTACCGCATATTTTTTCGATGCCTATGTAACGTCTGACGGCGTTTGTTTTCGTTACAGGAAACGAAGAATTTTTTGTAACTAGTTCAAATCGACCATTTCAATTCCAAACTGGTGAAAGTAAGTACGTCAGCCAATTTTTTCCCGGTGCGAACGCGGCTACGCATTGCTTGTCCGACGATCGGGACGAAACGGATAGCTGCCGACCAGAGCCGCACCAAAACAACGTTGACTTCGCGCATGAATATGACCAGTGTCAGCAGCAACAATTAGGCGAGTTAAGACACACTAGGGATCGTTTGAAATTAAACTTGGTTTCGTCGAATGGTACACCGTCCGCTCCGTTCGTTTCTGCGAGACAATCGCACGCGGACGACGAGCAATTAGACATTAAAGAGAATCACGAGTCGGAACTCGTAGAGAAAGTCGTCACGCCGGACCAATGTATTGTATCGAGTTCAATGAATGACGATAACGCATTGCCAAAGGTGCCTCACGAAGAAGATGTCCAGGTCGGTCCATCTTCTACAAGAATCTCTCAGTGTGATAGTCAGGAGACGCTGGAGCCCACCGAAAAGTGCAGTGTTTTAACTCGTGATTAAAGTGAGACTAAAGTCTGTAATGAAATTTTAGAATGAAGACAGTTTAGTCCAAGTCCGTCCGAAACAATCTCGTCGTGAAAAATGCGCGGTGAATTCTCTTTGTTAACGCACGCGATCCGATTTGATTATCACCGATGAGATTATTACTACGACACACGAATCTCGAACAAATGTACATAGGAAAGATGTAGCGGATATTACTCGAGGCTGTACAAGTCGATCGGTTGTCTAACGGATCTTGTTAGCGGAGTTGTTATGACTGTTCTGTAGCGAATACGGAAAAAAAAACGTGTCAATATATAGATAGTCGCGGCTTTATATTATTAATAAAGCTTTCTATCCGCATGACGGTTTACGTCATGATAGAAGAAATAAGTGACAACGGAAGGACTGTGTAAAAAGTTAACATATAAGTATTAATTTTAGACAATCGATTTGTAGGAGCTACATCGAATTACGATGAACAATTCGTTGCGCGTGTAAATAATTATTGTTTATAGTGTAATTGTTAAACGAGCAGTAGTGCCTATGTAGAACGATTATTTTTGTGACTCCTCTATAAGAAACTCTTATATAATCATCTTTCACGTCATCCCCTTTGTTTTACCTTGCCAACACTCATTGTCATAATTTCTTGATATTAATTAAACATTATTAACAAATCTGCTCTCTACATTATCGAAGTATTGTATAGCAAAGTATATGGGACTGCCATCCCACTAAGGATTCGTGGCGAAGGAAAATACTTGCACGACTAATTTTCTACACGATATATACACGATGTATTGATAGATTTTTACTTTCGTTAGATCTGTGATCAGAAGAATACATATAGCGCGTATATCGATATGTTTTATATTGGATTTAAGAAACGAGACGAGAGCTCTTGCATCATCGAATATGTTTGAGTTGGAAATTCGCGTATCTTGTACTAAAGCGAGAATTCGTCGCACCTGTTTGTTTTACTCGAAATATACAAAAGAGCTATCATGTTACAGAAACGTTTACCTTTTCTATGATAACGTAACATAAATATTCAGATATTTACTTTTATGCTAACCGATAACTTTGTCTACGGTACATTTACTTCACGATACCATATGAAAGTGTGCAATACAAACAAAGTAATTATTAACATGAGTTCAGTATGGCACATTGTATAAACGATATTTCTATAGATCTGAAATACTCGCGGAAGCGCGATGAACGATGGGGTACGATCGCTAAAATGCTGTTTTAGAAAAATTTTTACAAACATTTGTTTGCAATAATGTATCTCATTGTATAATTACTCGTCCTGGACACGAAGAGACTGTTGTAACTAGAACGAATCTACGAAACAATATCGAAATGCAAATATAGTTTAGCGTCGTATGAAAACCGTGTGGGAATTTGTGCCGCTGTCGTTTCACGAGTGCACGCGATATCGAGAGGATATACAAACGAATCGCTGCTGTCGTAGCACCGCGAGTGCTGTCACGTCTCTCGCTATTACCACACTTATTATTACTGATACTGCTTTGTGCTCACTATGACATAAGCTAAAATAGAGAACAATTAATATATTGTTATACAGAAAAAGAGACAGTTTATTCCATTCAGATTCCAAACCATCTTTAAATATCCTAATTCTCTATATACAATACCTTTATTTTTATAACATAGGCGTTTTATCGTACAAATGTATATAATAATACTAAAACTTTGATCTCTTAATCTCCCAGATAAATCTACACATTTATACATCGCGTTATTTACACGGAGATATGTCGTAATATTTTTATAATTTGCCTTAAAGTCCGAAGAAGCTGTATGCGAGCCATTTCTTTTAGTTTGATAAAGATTCCGCAGAATAGTTTATAAATTACGTTGATGATTACGCCACAGGATAATCAACCCGTCGTGATCTGCGGATGCGAGTAAAGATTCGTCGTAATTAAAGGACAGAGCTAATGCGGGTGTCGCATGGCCGTGCAGTCGATTGATCCTAGCGGCCTTTCCCTCTCTCGCTGAATCCAATAAATGAACGGCACCATCTTCCGATCCCGTAGCTATTAAGCACGCGCCCATTTGCGGACAGAAAGTAGACTTCAAGGGGTAAAGCCTATAAAAAAAAAGTACACGCAAACATGGAGTGTTGTATCATAAGCGAAAATATTAAAACAAGAAAACAAGAAGCGTATTTTACACGATAAAAATAATACCTATGCTTGACAGGATACTTTCTCCAGAAGTACAAAGAACCGTGATTGTCCGCGACGCGGTATAATAGCACGGCGTTGCACGCGCTGCTCACTAACAGCGCAGCCCAAGGAGAATCCTTCGACAGCCAAGAACGCCAGGAGAGACTGGTTATCATTCCGCCGGTCTCCTGCACTCTCTGCAGCTTCGTCAACCGTCCTATGCCGGGTTCCAGTCGGAAAGCCACTATAACGCCTCTGTCGTTGCCCGCCCAGATTATCGAACCACCGCTACCCTCGCACGCCAGGGAAAGAATCTAGAAAAATTACATAACACAATTTAGCCGAACTTGCTTTTTGAATATCGCCTTTTTTTCTTGAGACAAAGACCGACCTTTCCGCCAATTTTGCAGGAACCGCCGCGCATATATATACCGGTAGATACATTCAAGATCTGGATCAATCCTTGAGAATTGCCGGCTACTATCAAATTATTATTCGCGGGGATGAAATTGCAGCACAGGACCTCCGCCCGCTGCTGATCGTCCACCACTCGCAGACAAGCCGGCTCTGCATCCGCGCATACTCTCCACAGCCTTATCGTCGCGTCCAAGGAGGAGGAAACAATCAGATCGTTGCTGCTACTCCAATCGAACGCGGTCACGCCATTACGATGACCCTCCAGGAGAACGATCACCTTCGGAGGTGTGCTGACGACCTCGCATATGGACAGGGTACCGTCCAGCGACGCGCAACACAACTTGGACCTGTCGTTGTTGGCAAACTTGAGCATCGTTACAGCTGCTTTGTGCTGATCGAAAACATGATGAACCCCGGCGAACGCAAAGTTCTCCGCTGTCGATCTTCGTTGCACTCGCTGATGCCTCGCCCTGTTCTCTGACGATTCCTCGCTTATCGTGTGACTCCCCACGCTGTTCTGCTCCAGCCTCTCCCCGTAACGCTGCCGCAACAGCTCCGATCGCAGTTTCAAGTATCGCGCGCCGATCTCCGGATCCGTAGAAAACTTCTCCCGAAGCAGCTGATTCCTTCGGCGAATGTACAGCATGCCTGCGGCGAGAGAACTCGAGGGTAATCAAGATTATTCAACCGATTAAAGTAATGAGAGTAAAGCGTCCAAAACTCTTACCCAGACTGGAGAGCTTATTCGCCCGCAGTGTGTTGTACTTCGCGTCGAGCGCGAAAACCTGTTGATGCCACGTAGTGGCCATCTTCTGCGATCCACCAGCCTCGACGTTACCGATTTGTAATACCTCTGTCATCGACGTGCACGTAACGATATCTCACAGAAGCATTCCAAGAAACATCAGCTATTTTCCTATCGACTACCCGATGCGACTTGCCTGCGTATCTTCTAGCGGAACGAGGAAACGTATTTCCTTTCGTTTTCGCTATTCAAGATTAAATTTTAAATGACAAATCGACCTCAATTGTAAACAACTCGACTACATTCTGCGACGTGTAACCTCTTCGGACAGCGACGACGTTTTATTTCCACGCCAAATCCTCCTGCCTTTTCCTTCGATTGTTTTAACGTCGGACATCGTTCGAAAACCTGACTTTCTTCCAAAGGATACTATTTATTAAGATCGATCAACCACTCCTCGTTCTCCAATTTTTTGCATTTTGAGGTTATGTCGCTCCCCATCGCTCCGACGTTCGACCTTCGGCCACGTTCAGACTCCTCGCACTAGTCGCACTTCAAATTGACGCGGGCGCGCGTGATACATCGATTAATCGATTCGATCGGTCGCCGCAAGTTTTCAAAATAAGCACTGTTATTTCGCGGAAGGTATCGACATTTAATAGCAATTTTTAAAGAAATAAAGAATTGTGGAGTAATAAGGACGTTGCTTCAAGGAAATCGGGGAAACGGCGTTAAATGCTTGGGATCATAATACAAGCACTTGCACCACGGATATGTAAATCGTCAGACTTCTTTAATACATTTATTCTTATATATCCATATTTATACACAGTAGTAGCTATCATTATTATTATGAATCATATAATAGCAGTAGTTGAGTAATGCATATATCGTGCATTTCCCCCTCGCTCGGTTAATATTTGACAAAAATACAAAAATTATTAATGTATAATTATATGAGAACAAACGTGCTTAACTCCAAATCTCCTCCTCTCCCCTTTTCCCACCCTTCTCTCGTTCTCTTTTTTTTCTATGTCGTTTCCAGTAACCCTCGCTTCCCCCGCTTACATTTTGCAACAATTACACTTAGTATACTTCTTTTGTCGCCCTAAATTGATTCGAGTATACACGATGAAGTCTGAAATCGACTATAAAACATACACTAAGACAATAAACGAAAATTTTTTACTTGATTCTCCCGGTCGTTTCATCAATCGTTCCTTCGTTGATGCCGGTCTGCGTGTACATTCGAACGCGTATTCTCTACTCGTTAATAAGTGGCTATTAGCACAGTCCACGTACGCTGGACCACGGCGAAGACAATGTAGCCCGATTTTCTCTCTCTTTTTTTTCTCTTTCTTTCTCCCGAGAGTTCACTTGAGTACAGATTTACACTTTTCCCCGAAAAAAAGAAGGAAGCTAATCTACATTTGGTCTTCCGATCTTCTCAAAACGCATCCTACACATACCGCAATTTCTTTATGTATATATATTTATACGAGTTTATAAGTATTTATATATTTATATATGTATATATATGCAGTCGCTAACAAGAGTTTACTTACAACTATTTACTTCTCGCTTTTTTATATTAGCGGTAAAGCTTTGTCGACCGTCGGACTCGTCGGCCCGTTTTTTATGTTCGTGCTTAGAAGAAACATTATTCCTCACGTTTTTTTTTATCGTACACGCAAGTCGTAACAATTCTCACAGCACCTTTGTGAAAAAACGCTTCACATTACATTTACTTCCTTCGTTCGACGTATTTGCTTTCAGCTTGTTCTCGTTCTCTTTTTTTCTCTAACTCTCTCTCTCTCTCTCTCTCTCTCGCTCTCTCACCGGAGGAATAATCTGCGATCATTCATTATTCACAATGCAAAAATGTAAAGTATATCTTCAAAATATGTGTTCCACTGTTGGTCAATATACGTGTATTATTTCGTTCCGATTAATATGTATATAGCTATACAGTACGCACAATCTCTAATCAGCACGAATAATGCAATATTAACGAATGTGTACACCAGACGGAATCGATAATGGCTTTCTTTCTTTCTCTTTTTTTTTTTTATTACAATCTCACAATGAAAAAGATACAAATATCGCTGTTAATCACCGTTACTGCACATTACGTCGTTACTATATATGCTCATTCGTCTCGATAATCGGTCATGTTGAGTCTCGTTTTCATCTTAATCGTTCGCGATTTAAATCGAACGAATACTAGACCACGAGGAACGTGTACGATTGTAAGCTTGCAATGGAAAACATCACATGTCGTCTCTGTCTTTATCTCTCTGCGCGCACCACGTGCGAGCGTCGAGGCTGCGGCTACTTTTCGAAATCGTAAAAAAGCTGCAACTTTTGATTTGATAACGTCTCTGACGCCGCTCTTCCAAAAACTTTACGATAAACAATACAGATTTAAGGATTGCTAATCCGATGGAGATCGATTCTTCCCTCGAGAGGAATTATCCATTTCTTTCCTTTTACCACATCTAGAAATGCACTAATATGCCAAATGATAATCCGTAACGTTTTTTAGATACCTATGTCGATAATTTCCAACGAATCTCTTGACAATAATCATATCGCTCATCTGCCGCAACAATGACATAATTCGAGAAACAAAATTTTCCAGAAAATGAGTTTAAAATGTCTTGAATCATAAAAAATATCGCGTTTTTGATATAACAACTGATTGTAGAGGAATAAAGGTATTGTTAACCCTTCATTCAAAGATCCCAAGATTTCGTTCTTTTTTTGCAACCAACTCAAAAATGACAATTTTTTTAATCATGTCGTTGTCGAGCGATATATATGATTTTAAACATAATTTTTGTCAATTAAATGACTTCAATTGCATCTGATTGCCGACCTAATTTAATGAACGAAACAACGAAAAATATAGCAAAATATTTTACATAAAAATATGCTAATTTGAAACGTGATATACTCTTGTAACTCATAATTGAGGATCTTCCGTTTACAGAATAAAACGTAAATCGCAATTGTTGTCAATCTTATGAAAAATAAAGGACCCACGTCGTTCTGCGAGTTCGGTCGAATGTGTGCGGATTTAGCAAGACAAAAGGTAAAGATAGGTACAAAAATAATAAAAGAGCAGAGCACTATTTTTACTACATATTTGTGGCATGTTTGATTTTTTTTTTTTAAGCTACACTTAGAAATAATGCGAGTTGCATATATGGTTTCTCCATTTAACCGAGATTATACGCAATAATTTCAATATAATATGGAATAGACGTATGCGTATTAATAAGGAGTAATAAAAATCAATACTAATCACAAAGATGCGTAATGCGTTCAAACCAAATGTATGCGAGTGCAACGATTGTACTTTACACAAGGTCGCTGTGGACGAGCCATACAAAAAAAAATAAAAACGCTACAAAACGCGATGATAATAATAAATTTATACAAGAGTACGTTTTTCTCGCGTACACCTTTATTTTCACCCTTTTACGGAAATGGTTCTACGCTACCTCACAAAGATGCGCTTTTATTATTTATTAAGCCAAAGATGCTTACATACACGAGAAAAAGAAAAGAGAACAATATAAAGACACTATTATCACCCTATAATTACCAGTCAAATACAAATACATTCGAAATTGCACTGTAATGTACAAAGGGAGATCCGGTGCGAACCCGACGGATGTTATTCTTCTAGTTTCTTTTCCGGTGCATCATACGAGAAGGTCGCGAGACACTGGCTTCGTCGTATCGTATACGACGTTACCAGATGAACCTATCATGAATTATGTGACATGGTCGCGTCATAAAATTCACAAATGATACAGACGATAATCCGTCTTTCGCAATCCATCGCGTTACACAAACGCTACAATTTCATTTGGCACGAGTGCAATTCACAGTTAAAAGGAATATGCAAATTATCATATATAGGATTTGCACGTATACCACCGCATAGTAAAAAGCAAGGAATTATTTTATTGTGATATCGCGCTCTACGCCAGTCTCTTGGAGAAGTTTGCGAGTGTGCTGAACTGAACAAATAAATTATAGATCAAGTACAAGTGAATGTACAGCGTACACAGGAATCGATTGTTCATTATCATTAGAAGGAAGCATTCCGGTCAATAATTGCATATACCTTTCAATTTTCAAAATTCACTCTCCGCATTGACTCGTGTTATTCTCGAAAAAAAAGTTGAAGTCTCTCGTCTACCATTTTTATGCGTCATTTTTAACTATTGACAATGTCAAAGTCTCTATATGTCACACCAACGTGTTTTCACAACGAAGGACGACTCGTTATTCTACTAGCAGGATGTTACGTTACTTCGTCCTTCCTCCGTGTCACGTTCAAAAGTTTGTCTTTTGTTTTTCTATTTTTTTTTTTTTAATTGCTACTGGCCCAATAATTAGGAGTGTATCCAGGCTTCGCTTGAGCTTTGTTCTGCGAACTTGTGTTGGACCTTTGGTTGCCGCTGTTGCCGCCGTCCTGATGAAGCGGCTGGTGCAGCTGATGCGGTATAGTCGGGATGAATAAGTGCGGGGTGCCGTAACCACCGGGCAAGCCAGCGTTTTGACTGCCCGTAAGACCGAACGGTGGTGGCGTGGCCGAGTGGAAAGTCTGTTTTTCGTAAGACTAAAAGGACCGATTGAGCGTGTGAACATACGGAGTTTCTAACGACGATTATTTACAAGTATAGTGTTACTCACGTTCACTTTGCCAAGAGCGACGTGACTCTTGGCGTACATCGTGGCGCTGATATCTGTTGCGGAAGAGCCAGCGGTGTTGGTATTCCCCGTGGAAGTGCCGGTTTTGCCGGTTTGAGTTCCGGTGTAGCTGCTACCGGCGCCCTTGTATTCGCCGGACGGGCCAGCGGAGGCCAGCGCGTCGTAGCTCGCACCGGCGCCGTAACCAGAGCCATAGCTACCCGGCTTGGCGCTGTACGCACCGCTATTTGTTCCGGCGTTGCCGGCCGTTGCTATTTGCTATGATACAAATCGACTCGAACTTAGCTCCTGCCCGGCCATCTCGGGTGAAATCACAAACAGCGGAGTATCCGTTCGATGCGCAAAACTTACCGGATAAATGGCAGGAGTCCCATACTGAAAACCTCCCGGCATAATTCCGCTACCGTAAGTAAATGCGTACGCGTATCCCGGAGGAAGAGTAGGATTTATCATCGGTTGCTGATGTTGCGTGGCGGTCTGCAAATCCCATATGACTTTAAGTTTTTGCACATCGCATATTTTTTTTCTCAGCAATGACTCTAAGCTGGTCTCGACGAGACTCACCTGCTGCGACATAGTGGAAGGAACTGGTGACGCGTTGCTGTCATTTCTAGCGAACCTGGCGTCGCTAATACTGGTATAGGCTCCCTGGACTCCTTGGACACCCTGTACGCCTTGCACGCCGGATAGAGCATCGCCTCTGCCACCACCGAGACTCGTAGCGGGACCGGTCGTCTGATAGCCCAAAGCCGCGTCATAGTAACCAGTAGTTGGCTGCACGTTAGTCAGGAAGGCCAAACACAAAACTACATGCATACACTGTGTACTCCAAATACAAGAGAAGGCTAACTAACGTCTAAGTCTCTACGCGTACCGAGCTGGGAGACAAGTAACATGCGGTTGCTTGGCAGTCTATTGCTATGTGTAAAAAGTATCAAGGTACTCTCAACCGACCGGAAACCATCATTCGCGATAGATCGAGCTACTAATCACGTGTACAATCGCAATACATACATACGAATACATTCGCTTCTCTCGCTAGGGGCACGCTTCCCACATATTTAATATAATCGAAAATATCCGAAACAACAAGCTAAAGAGTAATAGTACAACCTCCATCAACCACTTATATATATACCACATTGGAAATATGCATATTTTTCATATAATCTCAGATACGTAACATCATTCGTACACAATTAAGTCAAGACAAAGAAGAAGTAAAGTAAGCCAAGATAGATCGGAGATCGAAACAATCAATCTCGTAGCTAAAGTGTATCAAACAAGTTCCAGGAATATTTTTTCCCAGTTCTCTTTGCCATCGGTAAGACATGTTTGCACGAAGTAGTGTCGAAAAGCCGATCTGTCTTTACTAATGTAAATTGTTTTATAACGAAACGTCTTACTACAGAAATAAGAAAAGAGAAACAAGAACGAGTTTACGGTGTTGTCGTGAAGGCATCCATAGGAGTTTGAAACATTTCGAAAAGAATGATGGAATTACGAGCAGCTACCAAGCAATAAAGAAATTACCTCAGGAATTTTTATACCAGGTAATAATAATAATAATAATAACATAAAATGGAGTAAGCGCGCTTCGGAGCAGCATACACATTGTAATAAATATCTCCTTATGTACGCGTTTGACTCGTATTATACACTTAATTAACATGACAAACTACTCTGTTTCAGCGTACGTTACCCCGAAGAAGCGTTACTCAGAGAGCAATGCATTTATATTTGAATAAATAGAGAAACGAATGAACTGATCGAGACCGAGAAGTGACTGACCATGTGTGGTATTCTTTGTTGCACGAGCTGTATGTCTTCGTAGCTGTACACGGGTTGCTGGAAAGCTGCATATGGTACGCCCGCCTGGCCCATGATATATTGGTGGCTGAGCATCGGCGTCATACTTCCGGCCGCGCCGCCGCTCGTCATGTTGCCGGTACCACTGCTACCCGTCACTACTCCGCTCGATGTGCTTTTTGGAACAGCTGAAAGAATACATATTTTCGTTAAAATGGATCATTCAATGCTGAAGCAATCATCTGTCAAGACCAGGTTCAACTCCCATCATATATAAGAATTTTTAGTGGAAAAATATTCCCAAGTGTGATGGAAACAAGGATCAAAAAGCAAAATCAAATCCCAAGATAATACAGATAGCGAATAATGGTACTCTGTTCGTTGAAGAACGAAAAATCTACATACCAAGATTGCTGAACTTTTAATAACACTTTCTGAATATCTACTAACCGTTGGAATTCGTCACTTTGGTCTGTGAGCTATTGACAGATGTCGAGGTGAGACCCAACGTTGGTGCACTGGTCGTCGCGAGGGAACTGTTCGATGTCGTTGCACTGCTATCGTACTGCGAATCCTTCGTCGCGGTGCTATTCAATTTGTGATTGTGAGACGCAGCCTGCGGTTGACTGGCGTAACTGCCGTATGGATTTGCGTAAACCTATGAATGAAATTTTACATGTAAACCTATGTTGTCAAGCTGTGAAAACTATGCTAAAAGATATAGTAAGAATTTGCACTAACAGACTGCGCAGCACTCTGGTAACCGGAACTTTGCGTTATTGGAGATGTAAACGTCGTGACAGAAGACTGATACTGGGGCTGGTAAGCTTGATACCCCGCATTGCTGTTCGATACCGTGTTGGTGGCTTGCGCTGGATATTGCGATGTTGTAGCCGGTACATACCCGCTCGCGGACGGATAAACCTACCGAATAAAAATTGTTTTAGCTTCTGTAGAACTGTACTGGTATCTCTGGAATAGTTCTTGATGCCATTGATTCAAACAAGTTATACCTGACTGCTAGTGGTGGGTTGGTTGTAACCGGAAGTCGCGGACGCCGATGCGGAAGGAGAGGGTTGACTGAAGTTCGACGTGTTGGATTGCGGAAACGACGTCGACGAGTTATAACTCGCCTGCGAAACCGTTGCTGTCGCGGAGTAACTACTCGCGTTAGCACCTGACGCATTTTGGAAGCTAGACTGGGATTGGTTGTTAGTCGAATACGCATTGTAGGTGCTTGGCGTGCCACTCGACGGCTGGAAAGATGATTTCTGCGACGGCTGATAGGTCGTCGTACCACCGTACGTCGGCGCATTTCCGGGTGAGACTTGCGACGTGAAATCTTGCTTAGTTATATCCAAGCTTTGGCCACTACTGCTTCCACGAGTGAAACCTTGGGAACTAATCGTATGCTCGTTGGATGCTGGCAGAGTGTCGGTGCTCTGTAACTGAAAACGTCACATAATTATAATCTGATATATCGAAAGACATATATACGCTGCGTATAACTACGTAACGATTTGACAAAAGGAAAATCTACCATCTGCGAGCTAGCATTGAAAGGTGTGGTGGAAGTCTGCGTAGTTTCGATGTCGAGTGAATTACTCGTATTGGCAGTGTTCGCAGTATTCGCACCGGAAGTCATGTCCACACCGGCGATCGTATTACTCGTGGAGTTATATTTTTCGTTCGCCGAACCGTCGAGGGAGCTCGAATCGCTACCGAATTCCAGCGCACCGAATTGTACGTCGAGAAAGCCGATTCCGCTGTTAACTGCGTCACCAGGCATTTCCACGGCACTCGATGGTATTTTTGACGGCGGAGGTACTCTTGGACGTTGTTTCGCTTGTCTCTGGGGCTGTAAACGCAAGCGTATATAAGCCAATTAAGATTTTAGGTAGTTTAACGCGAAAAGATTAACTGCAGAGAATTGATAATTCATTAAAATGTAGCAATATTGCAATACCTGACTGGACATAGATGACGAAAACGACGTTTGTGCAGCTGCTTTCAACTTCTCGCTCGTCTGTTGAGTAAGTTGCGTCAGATATTGAGTTTGTGCCGCTGTTAATACGCCACTAATAGCGCTGGGTTGTTGCGACAGTTGCATCGTCGGTAAGCCCAATACTTGCTGCTGTTGTTGCTGTTGGGCTTGCTGTTGCTGAGGTTGTATTAAACTCTGCTGCTGCATCGTAGATATGTCCGACAATTTTGGTAGTTCCTACAAATCATATAAAAAAGAAGGATCGTTAGAATATGGAAAAGAACATATATCTAGAAGTGTTTGTTGATAAAATTTTACCTCCTGCTGAAGCAGCGACAGGTTAACCCCCTGACCCGATTGCGTGGATGACATTTCCTGAGGCTTTTGTTCTTCTAGAACAGCCGGAGGTTCGAGGATATTCGTGCTCGGTGTGAAAACTTTCGTGTCTGCCAAAGATCCCGTGTACTCCTCGTTATCCCAGTCTTCTGTAGAGTCCAAATTATTCCAAGCATCTATATACAGTTTATCATATAGATATAATATTTTGATATATTATATCCAATACATATATACATACACTTGTGTATGTATTTGTATATATAATATATTAAATTATAACATTATAACTTTACGTGTGTAAAATTTAAAAAGTCTCTTTTTTAATCTTATACACTTTACGCGTCAAAAAGTCATAATTAAAAAGTAAATTTCTTATGCTCATTTCTACCAATGTAGATTAACTTTAATCTCAATTTAACTTACTTTCTATCTTTTTCTAACTCTTAGAACTAGAAAAAGATGACGAGTAAGTTAAACTGAGATTAAAATTTAGCGTCGATGAAAATGGACATTAGAGAAATAATTTGTTGATAATGTAATCACGGTTTAGTGGAAGAAAAATTTCGAGAATCGAACATAGATTAAAACTTACCCATTTTTGGTTCTTGAATACTTTGTTGCTGTTCCTCGCTGCCTGTCCAGGTTTCAATGGGACGATTAAAACCATGAGAAGTAGAGGTAGACGATGGATCGTTGCGGTTCGCGAATGTCCTTGGACCAAGACCTCGACCACCGCTGCGACATCCGCGACCTGATCTTCCGGATCCACCCCTGCCTCTTCTGCTGTAGCTGCCATCGCGCATGCCGTCTTCCATATTCCTCTCGTTTTCTTTGTTTTCTCGTCCGCGCCCTAGCCAAGCAATTTTACAAAAGTTACAATTAATAAAATAACAAAGTAAGAATCTTTGTTGTATATGTTCTTGCTATAAATTGTAAAAAAAGACTTGACGAGAAAAAAAAAGATTATCTTATGTTTACGTATATGTCCGTATACGTCTATTCCTATGTGGTTCAAGCAATAAAAAAATTAAAGAATTCAATTTAAAAAATAGATTAAACTAACATCCACGATTGTCATGATTAGCGCGGCCGCGCATACGCGGAGGGCCGCCGCCACGTTGGTTACGTCGTTCTTCCCAATCGCCATTGTCGTCCTGGCCACCCGACTGATCTGTAGTCTGCTTGGAACCGCTGGGCTGACGAGGCTTCTTCTTTTTAACCTCCCATTCTGTTTTCACTCCTTCCAGAAGATCGTTAACAGCCCGATCCAAGTCTCCGTCATTATCATGGAGAGCCATGACTACCTCGTCCTCCGAACGCCGAGTCATATCCATGACCTGTTTAATGCGTTCCTTCATGATGGGATCCTCACCTCCCGCCATTCTGGTATCGATGATCTGCGCGTTGCGCATTTGATTTGTGTTTTGCTATATAACAATCGTTACAAAACAGTTCTCTTTAGAATGTTTAATATTACAAATGATGTAATATACATGTATTTTATTCATCCCTTATTTCTTTAGAATGTTTAATATTACAAATGTTGTAATACAATATATATTTTATTCATCTTTTATTTATTATCTGTTTATTATTTTTACTCACAAATAAAATAAATACTTTGTTACAAATAAAGTAATCTTTTATAAGTTAAAAATACATATTTATTTATAAAAGTACAATATTTGTGTGCTTTTATAGATTTTTATTTTAGATTATAACAATGTAACAAAATGGTGTGATTCTGTGTGGGAGCAATTGACTCATAATCAATGAGTCTCAGGATCTGTTTTCTATTGCTGACCTAGTGTGCACTCTCTGTACTTAAATTGAAATATGTTTGCAATTTGGCGAAAGCGAAAAGAAAAGTTCTAGTGCAGTCCAGTGCAGCAATAAAAAACAAACCTTCAGATTCGATTCCTTTTCATATGCTTTGCTTTACAAAAGATTAATTATAGCTAAAAGTTTTGAATGAAAGAATATGTGTCATTGCAATATGAGACTGTAACCCACTTCAGAAACGATAAGCCAATAAGTACACAATGTATACACAAAGTTTATTTTTTACCAACCTGGGCCTTGTCATGCTTGGTCGAATCTGATGATTTACTTTGATGATGATCTGATTTGCCGTGTTGTTGTGATTTATTTTTATTGGTGCCTCTCCCACCAGAGGACACCAAGGATTTGTTGCTTGAACTCATTGCCAACTAAAATCCCACGCACCTAAGCACGCACCGTATTACACTATGTACACTCCCTATTTACAGTCTGAAACAGAATGCATCCGTTATTACATATTTGCATGAATGTTACCCATGATTACAATAATGTGTGTAAATCGTGTACGACGCATACAAAGACGAGCTATACGTTGAGAACTGAATATACGTCTAACATCTTGCTGCGCAAGGCACGTACTGTAACTCCTAGGAGCAAACAGTTCCAAAAATTGAATTACATTCTCAAACGTTCCAAAAATAGCCCTTTGGGGCCTCCTTATCTCGCTCCCTATCCCTCCTTATCCCGATATCAGCTACTTCCATATTTTCTTTACTATTTATCCTGTGACTCCAATCACTCGGCCCCTACATAAGCCTACATAAGCCACGTGTCACAGTTCTTATACGTAAAATCTGTACATACACAAGAGTCAGTTTCTCTTTAAGCTTGTGAATCAATCGGATACAAGTTCAAAACGAAAATATCTTTATCACTGGCATATTTAAAGGCAAGCAACAATAAACAAACCCATTATTTACAATCCGAACCTGCGTCAAATTAAAATTACGCACAATACCGCCAGCGAGGTCTCGCCACGCGGTACAACTAGACCTAAAGATCCTTATCTTTGTGGACAGAAATAAGTTTGTAAAAAATACCTACGAGAGCCGCCAGGTTAGGAGCGTCCGATAACGATAGACGGAAAACACGAGATCCGCCACGAGGAAGATGACGAAAGTTAAACGGAATGTTAACGCTTATCGCGTCGGCGGCACTCAGAGCGATGGGGAGAGCGAGCCACGTCCGCTCCGACGACGACGGCGGCGGTGGCGATGAGCGTGTGAACGTCCTCACGAGCGTCGCCGCGTCGAGACGTTCACGTGCTTCGGCGACGCGACCACGTCAGAACGCCCAAAACGACGGGGGGGATCGGCTCGGCGGGAAACGCACCGCGAGAGACCGCGCGTCGGTCGCGGAAACTCCTCCGTCCGGACTGATCCTCGCGTCTCGTTGCGCGGCGTGTGGTGATCCGGGGAGGGATTGAAGATAAGAAATGGAAAAAAAGGATAACACAACCCGGTCGGACGCGTCGTCGACCGCTCGCGCTCGCACGCCGCTGCACGCCACGAAGAGTCCGTGCGTGGAAATGGAACGAGAGAGACGACGAGAGGCAGAGAGGCAGAGAGAGAGAGAGGGGGGGGAGAGAGGGAAGGAAAGCGCGAGAGGAAGAGCAAGGAGAGGCGGCGCACGGAGACGAGGAGGAAAAGCACAAAGCAGGCTCACGACCGAGGAACGACGGCACGGCTAGGCGAGGGTCGGACACTCGGCGAACGGCGCGCGATTGCCGATTAACTCTCACGGACGCGAGGATAACACTTTTTCAGCGGGCCATGTGCACGGCGGACGCCATTTCTGCTGTGCGCGAGGAAGGCTTGTCAACCATCGCCGCGGCGGCCGCGGCGGTGCATCAATGGATCCCGAACGGGCCTCGGAATGGCCGAGGGTGTGAGAGGGAGAGAGAGAGAGAGAAAGATAGAGGTGAATTCTTTGCGTGTTAACTCACGGCTGTCGTGGGCGTCGTGCGGGGCGGGCCTCGGCGGGCGCGACGGCAAGCGGAAGCGTGCGGGATTCACGGCACCCTCGGCGCTCGGGGCCGCGGCGCGCGAAATACCACGGGAAAAACAACGGGCACACCGCGGCGTTCGGTATTCGTACCTGGGTTAGTGCGCTCTCAAAACGCAGCTCGGTCACGTGACCGCGGGGCCCCCCTTCCCTGATGCACCACCAGGGCACCCTGCTAGTACTGCTAGTGCCTAACAGCGCAGCCAGCCAGCCAGCACCGCTACCCTCCGCTCTTTATCGGGGATCGGGGGGGTTCTCTCCCGTCCCGTGCGCGTATGTATTTATCCCGTATCCGTGTATTTGTACGGGTCAGGCTGGCAATCGAAGCAAACCCCGAACGCGAGACGCGGCCACGTTTCACCGCCTGCTGTGTTTGCGGCAGGCCTGCGCGGCGATGTACCGGAAGTACCGGTGTCTAGTCGCGTATGGCTGATTTTCTCTTCCTATTGGCGTTGACGAAATATGATGGAACCAATAAGATTCTCCAATGGGCGCGTTCAGCAGACACAATTGTTGAGTTCGTCTTATCAACACTCTGCATTGCGTGGTTGGTTCTAAAAGTAAGAGCCAATCACGTTCGACTGCTACTGAGCGGCTTGGTCTGCTGAACGCGCCCATTGGCCGCGTTCAGCAAACACAACTGTTGAGTTCGTCTTGTTAACACTCCGCGTTGATTGGTTGGTTCTAAAAGTAAGAGCCAATCACGTTCGACTGCTACTGAGCGGCCTGGTCTGCTGAACGCGCCCAATGGGTGCGTTCAGCCGATACTCCGCTAGCCTAGTGCACGTAAGCAGCGAGCGCTTTGCTACCATTTGCTACGGAAAAATTTGGCTGGACAGAAGCGCTCGCTAGGCCTAGCCTAGCGGAGTATCGGCTGAACGCACCCATTGTCTCTCTGTGCTCTTTCTCTTCCACTCGATGAATTGCACCACACTGCATTAAATTCTAAAAGAAAGCTGGATGCACTAATGCTAGGCGATGGGCGATAGCGATAGTGTAAAAATAAACCTAAACATATGGAAACATAATTTATTAAACATTAATTTATTAAAATTAAAGAGCCTCGCACACAAAATTGCATAGGCTGCATATGCATAGCATACGACCGCTAAACCAATGAGCATCTTACGTAAATTAATATAGCGACTTTATGCTGGATGCTCATTGGTTTAGCGGTCTTAAGCTATATCCACACAAACTTGCATAGGTGCATAACCATATGCATAACAAAACGGATTGGTCTATTTCCTTATGCACATGTATATGGACCAATCAATTCTCTTATGCTTACGTAATATGCGTTGTGCAAGTTTGTCTGGATAGACCTTTATGCTTCGCTTATGGGCTTAAGGTGAAATTTCATGGGCAGTGGAAAGTAGCAGCAGATTGTACTGATTGGCTATAAAATAGAGAAGTTCTCGAGTTCCTAGAACTTCTCTATTTTGTAGCCAATCAGTACGATCTGCTGCTACTTTTCACTGCCCATGAAATTTCACCTTTAAGGGCCCGGACACACGCTTCTGCACAACGCATAATGCGTAAGCATAAGAAAATTGATTGGTCCATACACATGTGCATAAGGAAATAGACCAATCAATTATCTTATGCTTACGCCGTATGCGTTGTGCAGAAGTGTGTGCTCCCCGCTTTTTACGTCCATGGGAGCAACCGGAGCAACTATGCTGCGCTCCGCCTCCGCGTATCCGGAAGTTGCGTCCTGATGGAACTTCCGGCGTCTCTGGAGCAACACTGGGTGTCACGGAGTTCGGGCCCCTCACGGACAGGTCCTCCGCGCAGGGGTTATCCGTGTCCGGTCATTACGGAGCACCTGTCATCACGGAAAGGACGAGAGTAGCGTGTAAATGCGAGCGACAACGAACATGGACCTGACTTGCCAGAATTCTAGCATAAGCGTTGATTATTTGCTCAGCCAATTGAATACAGCTAGACAAGAGATTAATAATCTGAGGTATTTTAATAAAAATTTTCCTTATTGTACCATGTAACGTCAAAATTTTTCTTTTCTTTTTATTTTATATTAACGATACATGTGCACATTTGTATTCATATAATCGCACATTTCGCATTTAATATGAAATACTTTTGCTAGTTACGAGATAACTTGATAAAGAAGTAAAACTGAAATTTGACAATTCCCTGCTTCATTTGTATTTATTATTAACAAAAGAAAACTTTGTAAATAATGGTTTAATTTAATATTACAGACAGCAAGTGAAAAGCCTTAAGTATATACTTGATAAAGATGTTGATAATATCAAACGCCTGTTGGAATTACAAAAACGTGGGGAAACCCTTCCGCAGTCCAAACTAATATCTTCGGAAGAAGCGAAGCCCGGCACAAGTAAAGATCAAGATACTCTTAAATTGAAACCCATCGGCGTCATTTCCACTTGGTTTCCCAATAAAAGAGCAACTCCGAGACAACCTGGCGTATGCGGGAGAGTACCAGGGAAGCTGACGCTTTACAATTCTGTATTTACAAATCCGGATCACGCCTTACAGGGCTTGCAAGACTTTTCCCATATGTGGTAAGGCATTGGTTTTTTTAGGGCCGGTTGTTCCAACCTGTTGGTAAACTTAAATCATATGTAATAGTTAAATCATATGCCTCTTTATCCAATGTAAAGGATAAACAAACACATATATATGATTTAACTATTAGGTAGTTTACCAACAGGTTGGAACAACCGGCCCTTAAAGTAATAACTTTGATGTTCCTGATAAAATAACTAACGTTCTGTTTTTCCCTTCCAAATAGGATTTTATTTCACTTTCATAGAAACGACTCGACCCACACCCGTGCGAAGGTAGCACCACCGAGATTAAATGGCATGAGAACAGGCGTATTTTCTACACGCTCTCCGCATCGACCGTGCCCCATTGGCCTTAGCCTGGTTAAGATACTAAAAATTGAAAATTATACGATTTATTTCGAAGGGGTTGACATGGTCAATCAAACTCCCGTTCTAGATATAAAGCCATATATACCACAGTACGACAGTCCATTACATATCGAAAAACTAGGCAATAGGCTGAGAGAGAACAACGTGAATGCCTCGGACACATTTCACAATGCGGAAGAAACCTTCAACTTGAGTGAAGGCCAATCGGTTGACTCTTTTAATAACGACACGGACATCAACAACGACGAACAGACTGAGCTTGATATTTCCAGAGACGAGGAAATAGCCTTGAGACTCCAAGTAGAAGAATTTCAAGCTTATCCGAATCTCAATGGTTACGATATTGCCAGACAACAATCTTCCCAATCGACAGAAGCTCATGCTAATACTTCGTTACAAAATGACATCAACGTGGACGTACACAGAGAAGCATACTTTATACGAAATAGAACACCCGACACGAGACCAAGCTTGGATTCTTCTAACGAGCATAATGCAACGTTAATAGTTGAATCGCAAACAGACTCCATTAGAGATTTAAATAGTAGATTACACAGAATAGATATAAATAATTCCGGTAATGCAGATTCATCGCGTACGGAAAGTGATAACGACAATGAGATTAATTACACCGAAAATCAGACGTTACGTAATTCTAGACTATTAGACGGAGCGGATGGACCAAGCACGGTATGCGGTACCGATATAGATTTAGTCAATCGTCATGTGTTGCACGCCAGAGTCGATAATTCTCCCGTAAGAATGGGAATACGCGAAGCGCCCGATGGAGAGGAGGGACTCGAGTCCCAAACTTTGACGCCATCGCGCACCTTGCCAGATATTCACGCTGCAACAGCTGTATCGTCTGCGTCGATGAACGCAGCGACGGAGAGTAACTTTTCCGAGATAAGAGTACCGGACTGGATCGCGCAACCTCGTACAGCCTCGTTGTCCGTGATCTTCAACGAACGCGCCTTGATGCAATTAAACGAGATTTTAGATGACAAGGTTGACGAGCAAAAACAAGCTATAGAAAATGTACTGAGGGAAGATCCTAGGTCGGTGTATTTAAGACAGAGATGGGGAGGTAATCAATTCTATACCTTTTTGATACACGACCTGCACATCACGTGCCGATTCGACGATAGCCGAGGTATCGTCACTGTATTCCAAGTTCGACATGCGGGTCGCACCTGCGATTGCGGCGAGCCCGAATGGCAATGCTTGGGACACTCTCCTCTATCTTAATATGTTATATTAATGGACTTGAAAAGAAAGAATATAAATATATTAGGAAAGAGAAAGGAGAGAAAAGTAAAATTCCATCACTGTATCGCGATTTAGTATATAAAATAGCGCAATTGTTATTTATTTACGTTTATGTTTTTAAGTAGACATGTTTTTACTCTTGTAAAATTAAACATCTTTTTGTAACAGTTATTCAGTTGATCAGGGCATTATAAAATGAAAGTAACTTAATGAAACATCTCATATATATAAGTATAACTTCAGTGCAAGTGTACGAGTTCCTATATTTTGTTATGTGCGAATTTATGTCGTTTATATTAAAAGGAATTTATATACGAAGTAAAAAAAAATAGATAACATGTATTTTATGTACCTATATTACATCAAATTGGGGCAAAATGTAATAGAACAATTTTTTTTTCTTACGACGGCAATACCTATAGATGTTCCAAACATCTGTATGTACTTATTTATGTGTACATTCGTATAGTGAAGTCTGCGCCAGCGGAAAAGACCCACGGTTCAATAGGATGAAACATGACGTCCAAAATGCCAAAATCATTATATGACTCGTGATTACACAATCTTTTCAGTGGTACAATTAACGGATTTTGTAGAAGATCACTGGAAAAGAAAATACAACCGTCATGCATCATACGTATTAAAATCAGATATGCGACAAATATGCGGAGATATCTTACTTGTACACCATTCCATGAGACACAATTAGCGCCCTATCATCGGCTCCAGAAGCAAATAGAGGATAACGTTTGTGGAATGCTACAGCGCGTACGCCAGTCCCGTGTAATCGCAATGTTTGATAAGGTTCTTTACTGAAATCTAAATCGAACCAAAGCATTTTGCGATCGTATGTTCCTACTAAAACGTTATCACCCCCTAAAAAAGAAGAAAAAAATTTTACAGCGATTATGATATGAACATATGTAATTCGTAATAAAACGTAATAGCTTACCTGGATGAATGTCCATTGTTGATATCCATTGTGAATTAGATAATAATTTTTTAACCATTACCTGTTGTACAAGATCGTATATTCTCACGTTCCTTTGCGTCTGAAAAGGGTAACGTAATCCACATAAAAATTGAAATATTTATATCATTGTGTATCTCTCGATCGTTAATACTTACCGCAACAAATAAATATGGTCTAATCGGATGAAACAGCACGCATTGTATTAATCCTTTTGATTTATTAAAAGGTAATTGAGATCTTCGCTTCGATAGTTGATTTATCAAAACTGATCTATTCTGACCATCTGGCATGACGGTAGCGAAATAATCTCCTTTTCCATGCCACGTTACTTGCTTCACGATTTTAAAATGATTTAGAATTATCCTAATTCCATTGTTCCAGTTTTCACCTTCCGCTTGCTCCCACTGTACTGCATTTTGTACCCTGTCGCTCACTAATAAATAAATAAAGTACGTCAGTCATATTTGGAAATTTTCGTAATAGTTTGTAAACAATTCAATAATTCAATTAATAAGCACCTATTATTTCGCTCTGTGGTATTATCTCCAGAAGTTCATCGGTTTTGCTGGTAATAACGTTATCTCCAACTCCAGGATTGATTAAAAGCACTTTTTTATCAGCTGCAACGGCTATCAACGACATAGCTTGGTTCGGACGCCAGGAAACACTTCGTATGACGCCACCGCAAGGCACTGTTTTCAAGCACCTGCCTGTACTCACTTCCCATACTGTTGAAGTAATAAAATTTACAATTTTAATTATACAATTAATAATACAACTTATTCTACGTACAAAGTGAAATTTATAATCGTGTAATATATAATAAATTAATGATTAATATGTGCAAATATATATAATGCTCTAGATAACTTACTTTTCAATGACATATCGTCTCCACCGGACGCAATAAACTGTCCCTCTGGTTCCGCAGTAATACTTCTGACCATATCTGTATGTCCTTTATACACCATAAACATTGTTGTTGGGAATGGCTGCAAGTCCTTCGGACTGGGCAGTTGCGGAACCAAGGCCTCAGGCTCTATTGTTAATCTCATCTTTAACGATCTGGAGCACAGATACAGATCTAAACACCTCTGAAATCTTTCTTTGATATATCTTGGATATGCAGGTACTTCTCGCAGGGAACCGAATTTCTCCGGTATAAAATGTAACTTCCTCTTCCACGGAGTTGCCTTCAATTTGTTCCATTCTTTAAGTTCTTTATTATCAAACAGGTATTCCGGCGGAGGATTGTAGCTTTCCGCATGGCCAGGTAAATGTCTCTTTGGCGCTGGGATATGCTTATGAATTCTACGCATTTCCTCTGCCTGATCGTCGGACTGCCACAGCATGTAGAACTGCGGCCCTTGATTCTTCTCTCTTTCTTTTTGCATTTCTGTGGTCGATTTGATCCAACCCATCTTGAGAGCGTGCACCAACTTGGATACTTTTCTAGCCTCGTTCTTAGACGGTAAGAAAGAACGTTTGTGCTCCGGGAATTTACGAAGTGGCGTTTTCATTACTTCAGAAGTGAACCAATCCACCCATGGCTACGATTTACAAACACACAAGAGCAGTTAAAACAATTATTCTTATACAGCACATTAAATAATCGTCAAACTAAATTGTTATAAATCCAACTTACCGCGTATTCGTCGAACTGAGTATCGGGAACTTTCTGCTTTTGAATTCTTACAATCAAATCTATATCTGCCTCGCTCAGTACGACATCCTGACCGGTTTGAGGGTCTTTTATAGTTCTCCAAAAGTCAGGATCCTCCATTCTCTTCAAAAAGTTATCTAATTCATCGCCCTTTTCGGGCTTAGGAATTTTCTTGCCTTCCCAATCATATCCGAGATGATCATATTCGTCGTACCACTTCAACGGTACATTCCCAATTGTGTTACGAATATCTTCCTCATCAGAGCTGTCATATGCGTACTCATTCTCGTCACTTGCATTGTTAGATATAGTTTTAATCTCTTGTTTATTTGCATCGTCTTTGTGTATCTTATCAAAACCCCTGCGATTTTTATCGTTTTTTAATTTATCTACTTGTGTAATTTCTCTCGATGTTGACGTCTTGCCTCTGGCTATCAGAGATTCTTCGCTCTTACTTTTATTCTTTAATTTGTCATCTTTCGGCTTGGTCGGCGACTCTTCTTGCGCTTCCTCTTCATAACTGCTTTCCGACCCAGCATCTTCCGAATCATAGTCCTCCTCATCCGAATTGTAGTCCTCCTCATCTGAATTATCGTCATCCTCATCTGAATCGTCATTATTTTCATCCGAATCAAATATAACCGCATCTTTTTCTACTTCTTCATCCGAAGATATGACTGCATCCTCTTCTACCTCTTCATCCGTAGCGTCTTCGTCAACATTAATTTGAGCCGCTATCAAATCTTCAGAGTTCTAAGTTGAGACAACATACATTTAACTTGTTTCATTATAGTTGCAATATGTTATGGTAATAAATAGATTATTATTTTGAATTATATGTAAAACAACGAACAAGAATACATAGAAATATGTAGCAACAGCAAATAGTCAATACCTCCGCGTTATCTGGAAGACGTGTATCCTTTCCACTTTCGCCTTTATTTCCTCCTAATTTCGGATTAACATATTTCCTTTTCGATACTTTTTTCTGCCCCATTTTTTCTTCAATTATCAAATAAAATTCGCTTTTCTTTGGAGCTTCCCTCGTGTGAATAAAAATAAAATTCGTCCGCCATAGGAGGTTAGGTACATACAAATCACGTGCGATCGGTAAGATCCATGGCACAGGAAGGGTGCGCAGAGAGAGATGCCTGGTTAAGGCCCGGTTCACAACGCGACTGACGCGAGTCACTCGAAGTGGTGGGGACACGAATACGAAAATTAAATAAACGCGCTTATTAACGCTTCGGAAAGAAAAATAAAATGAACTATATAACGCACATAAACAATCAAACTCAAAGACAAGAAATAAAAAACTGTCTAATGTATATCGCACTCTTATAACCACAAATGCTTTGAAACATTCTTTTTTTCTTTTCTTTTAATGAAGAAAGAAGAAGAAAAACGCTTCAGAGCATTTGCAGCATCAAATGGATTGCAGCCAAAGTCAAGTAAAAAATATAAAAAATCAAAGTATACATGTGGAATATTATATATATATATATAATATTTTACTTTTTCCTCTGATAAACTATAAGTTTGATCATTTCATAATGAATCTTTATTTTTTAGTGGAATAAGCTACAGGGAAAACCACTAAAAAAAAAGACGTCAACAATAGTATATCTCATGGGAAATCTATTTGTTAATTATATATGTATTATACATATAATTATAATATAAATAGACACAAGAAATATCTCCACTCAAAAATAAATAAAACTTACATTTTACTTTTATTAACGTTCAGTAATTAAATAAATTAAAAAATTTAAATTTAAGAAAAAAATAATAAATTAAAAATAATGTATTTTATTAACTTTATTAATGTTAAATTTATATTAAATTTCACATTTATTTGCAATAAATCGTCATTGAAACGTGAAGCTTTCTACAGTTAATAATAAATAATTAATAAAATAAATTTATTGAAAAAGCAGGTACACTAATTGTGAATTCAAATACTCATCCTTTAATTCTTCGCGTTGACAATAATGGCCGCGTTCAGCAGACACAACTGTTGAGTTCGTCTTATCAACAATCTGCGTTCATTGGTTGGTTCTAAAAGTAAGAGCCAATCACGTTCGACTGCTACTGAGCGGCTTGGTCTGCTGAACGCGGCCATTATTGAATTTTGGAACACAGCCCATATGAAAAAATTTCTTTCAAATTTGATTGGCTGCACTACTAGAGAATTCGATCATTGAATTATTCTACACTGGCGTAAAAGGCTACTTTACATGAAATAATTTTAATTATAAAAACGCACAAAATTTAAATTTACAAAAATTTAAAAAAAGTTTGGAGTTAAAAAAAAACAAGTCAAATTTTCTACGCAATATTTTTTCTATTATAATATTTGAGACTTATACGTTGTAAAAAAACTTTGTTTTATAATATTTTGTAACAGCATACTTACATTTATATCTTAATCGTATTATTTAACGTTTTTTTTATTCATAATAATCGATTCGTTTCGTGTTCCAGTCGTTTATTACATATTTTTCATTAATACGAAAGATTAATGGGTTGATAATTTGAGACCGTCACTCCTGTGTGTGCTTAAAATTGCGTATACAAAACTTATAGAAATTTGGCTAGATACTAGTTTTATTGATTACAGCATTTTTCTTTTTTTTCATCACTTGCAAATGCCTTAATTCAATCCTTGCTATCGATGTAATACGCAGAAGCTTGAATATCGATTGATTGTGCAGAAAAATTGCGGATTATCGTTAGATATTTGTTTCATGCACTGTACAATAAATCTTGCTTATAAAAGATGTGAGTATCTATGTACATACACACACACGCACGCACATACACTCATACACGCGCGCGCGCACACGCACATGTTGACATCTATATAACAGGATATCCTTGCAACAGACTTTTACAAAGTATTGCAACAACGTATGAACGTACATTCGGAAAAAGAAAAAGAGGACAAAGTTACTTAATGTTGCACCGTCGTGTACAAAATGTTTCTATCGTAACACTGAAATTATGTGAAACTTTAACACGTTCCTTGCATCTTATTTTTTTTGTCTCATTGAAAATAAATTATATTTCTCCGTATAAATACGTTGCAGTGGAACTAATTTCATATTTCTAACTATCCTACGTCTTTTATAAGTTTCAATCGACCGACGGCTTAGTTCGTCTACGATGATGATTTCGTGCTAATGCGTGAACAATTGTCACTAGGAAATAACAAACCATCAACGTTACAAATTTGTCGAACAGCCATGATATTGTAGTTGCTCCATCCTGCAGAAAAAAATATATTATTTATTTCAGAGGTAGATCTCAGTGTGTATCTCAGCGCATTTGTATCTCGTGAAACCGACAACTTACCATAGAGGATTTATCGTGCAGCTTCTGCTTCTGTGCAACGAAATATTTCTTTAATGGTTCTTGGAATTTTGTACCAACAAACGGTACGATTGCCAACAAGCTAATAAATTTATCTAAAAGTTCTTCATTGAACGCTATGATCACTGCTAATTGCTGTATGTGCATTTTAACAACAGCCTTTCCTACAAGAGTTGCACCGAAGAACGTCCAGAATGGAATGAGATAATGTCCACATGTCAAACCAGCCAGGTCAAACAATGGATTTGGAATCTGTAAAATTTTATCGCAATACGTCCATAAAAAAGAAAAGATAGATCATCAAATAGCTGCAAACACACAGAATTTCTTACACATATTACGAAGTTTACTTATATACGTACCGATGCGCAAGCCAATATACCCCAGAATCCGGCTTTCTCGACGAATCGCTTCATACTTAATTTTATACGCATTACAAACGATACGTTTTCCCCATTTTCTAACGCCTCCAAGGCTTCCAACTCTTTCAGATCCTCTTGATCGAAATTATCATTCTTATTATGTTTTCCACTTATTCTTGCCGCTCGGGCCATGAAATACGGCGGTAATTCGCCAAGCGCGGTACCAGCTCCCCACAGCATGGCCTCTACGCGCACTTTTTTCATAATATTTAATATGCCCACCGTCCACATTGGATCGATCTTCGTCGGGCATATTATTTGGTCGGGGTACGGTGGTTCGGGAAAGTTCAGAGCACCACATTCATACGCTGCCATAGTAACGGCCGCTATGTGTGGCCCTAAGTATAATACAAAGGTATGCAAACCTGTTCCAAGGCCTACACTTGATAATACACCTAATCCTACCCAATATAACCACCATATAATTTTGGCCTCCCACAATTTAAAAATCTGAAAATAAAACGAATAAATCACTTTATACGAAGCTATCAAATAGCCAAAATTAATTTAAATGTAAATATAGCTATCGTGCACATGCAAGTGAGCATTACCAATTTTTTTTTAACAAAAATCATTGTCATATGCTTTGTAACTGAGCTACAAATTTAAATAACATCAAGATGAATTCTATTTGAAACTAATAGAGAAATATGATTGTACATATCATCTATTTCCTTCCTTAAAGCTTAATTAAAAAAAAAAAAAACATCTTCCATTTTCAATCACTCGTAATTTAAAGCTCTAAATATCAACGTTTTTAATGGAAGTCGCCTAATTAAATAGAAAAAGTACATACAAAAATAATAATTCTAAAACACATGTTAGAGTTGTAAGTGATCCAACGTACCTCTTGTTGGGGACCAGAGATTCTGCCTGACAGAAGAAATAATATTATAATCGAAATCATAGCGCACACAGTCCGTTTGTAGAGCAACGTTTTCTTCGCTAAACTAAGCACATTTATGAACACTTCGCTAAAGAAATAATGTAACGTTGTAATTGGATGCTGCCAGAGCGTTAAATGATCCGAATCCAAATTTGATGCGTTGGGTGGAGGATGGCTTGAATTGCGCTCCATCGCCGGAGCGGATTTCTTTCTTCTAACGCTTCTTTGAGCTCCATTAGTGGAAGCTTGATCTTTTGGACGTTGAATGGCAGTAGAATTACCCAACATGGTATTCTCCAAATGGTTAATCTATGAACAAAGAACGTAACGTATTTATAACAACTTATATTCAATGTCAATTTATTTACCTTACATTGGTCTTATTTTTATATAAAATTATTGAAAATTATGGTCTCACAAATTATTTCTTACAACATAAATAAATATTATGTAACAAATTTGTATGTATTATCGTATAAATGAAATAATATAACAGAAAATTAAGTCCTTCTCTCTCATTACGATAGAAAAACCAATATTCCGTAACAATTTACTTGAACAAGGTTAGCATCAATTTCAATATTTATAATTGTATATATAGAATTGTATTCTTCAAGTTCACCAGTCCTCTCCATTATATGAATGGACTTATAATGTTACTGTAGTAAACACAGAACGGAATGATCGTACAATAAATGATTACACGCAATTAAAAGTATTAAAAGAGAGAATTGACGTTGTTATCAATAAAAAAAAACACGTTACATGGCGGATGAGCTACTATCGGGCAAAGGTCAAATCGTAATACTATCCAACGTAAACATATAAAGTCAGATTACTTGTTAGAATTTACTGTTCCTTTCTTGACAAGACAACCCATCGTCATTGCTGATAAACATATTCGTTAAACAATCACCTGAATAATTTTGTTCGACATTTAAAAGCAGAGAGAGAGACTCAGAAATGATAAAGTCTTGTATTCTACGACATCATGCGGTCGCTAACTTACATTCTACATGACAAACAAGTGTAACGTTATTCAAATACTTACTACATTATCCTTAGTTAATACTTACTCTGCAAGATAAAAATTTATATGAATGTATCAGCTCTCATTAATATTCAGAATAGAAACTAGAGTCTAAGCTAGAAATGCAAATAACTCCTAAACATGATACAAGTCCCTATCTACGAGGTTATGTGCTCTTATTGTAAATCCCATATCCAATGCATGACAAACTAAATGGAGCTCATTTTAAATTACAAGAAGATAAAGAACTGATACGAGGAAGACTTGAACTCCATTCCGTTCACGTTCTTCTGATGAGCAAGCATACGTAGTGAGAACATACAATACAAATAGTGCGAGGAGCGATATTGTACCTCTATAAAATACAATCAATTTTGTAACAGAAGAAAACAAATTTGCCAATCGTTCGTTGCCTCGCCATACATTTTAATAAATCAATGTCGCGCATCATGCTTGCAATTATACCGCGATAAAAAAAGAGCACGTAACCATATTGCTCTCATCTTACTCATCTTACATGTTAAATTAGCTCGTCTAATTGACGCGATAATTGCACCGATCATAAAATTATACTTGTGCACAAAAAAAAAACTCGTTAAATTCAACGTGACATCCCCCGATGGGGCCAGGGGATCGGTTATAACACATTACGATCGGGGAAGGAACGAACGTCTCGACGACGGTTTCATGTGAGAACACATCGAATACCACTCGACAATTACAACGTTCGGAAGTTCTCGTTTACATAATCGGTCCTTCACGGGCTCTCCGAGCGCGAGCGACCGCACGCGAAACAATGGATCTCAACGTAAATGGGATTTACCTTCTCAGCTCCGAGATCTTTAATTTCGATACGTGCACATCCAGCCGGGGATCACGGTGTACGACGATTTCTTTTTTTTTTTTCTTCCCCCCTATATCATCGCGGGAAGTGAAAGTAATGAGCAATTTTAATACGGAAGGTCTTACGGGGGCTTTCCAACCTTCCTTCGCTTATCACGGTCAATCGCGGTTTAATTACTGTCAATTCACTTATGACGTGACCGCTCGCGTATACGTATGTACATATATATACATGCGTGCGTATGTATGTATATACATATTATCTCCCTGGAGCACACACGTTCCACGTACGTATAATAAATATGTCAGATACGTGTAGCGACGTTAAAATGTCACGAGAGCGCGTTGAAGGGTGAGCGAGCGACTCGAAGTTTCTCCCTTATTTCTTCACATTTAATATAAAATAATTTGTTCCTTTCTGGATTATTTTTTTTGTCCGTTACCTTCCCCTTTTTTCTCTCCTCTTTCATTCAATTTTCTTTTTTATTCTTTATTAAAGAATGATTAAAGAGACGAATTCCTTTCCTCCCAGTCAACCAGTTACAGACTTTTATGTCCATTTCTATCAATGAAGGTTAACTTTAGTCTCGATTTAACACACTTTTTATCCTTTTCTAGTTCTAAAAGTTGGAGAAAA